TAATCATGTTTCAAGATACGCAGCGTGCGAAACGTCGTTCTTCTGTTCCAGTATTTTCGCTTTATTACAGAAAATTTGACAATGACAACTACATAACATAGATTTGAATCACTTGGTCAACAACATACTACCTTCACTTTGGAATCAGAGTCGTTCCGATGTGCTGTCTATTTACAACTTCACGATTGGCCAGATATTCTGAGAACTGTAGACTCAAAGTCGAGTCCAAAAATGATTTTAAACTAGCAAACACTCGATCTATAAGCCCAGTAAAACGTTAGTGTAAAAGTTTATTTTTTCTGGATGAATGCAAGTGCACCAAGTGACGTCTAGCCAACGTTTATTGCAACGAACAACATGGTGAAACCTACTACCATTCACACTTCACTGCATCCTTGAAACTCATTAATTTGGCTTCACCCGTCGTTTTCCTTGTTCTTCAACAATCCTGATGATGGCTTTTCTGCATGAAGCCAAAACTCACAAATAAATTATTTCAATCGAAATATTGTACTGTTGAAAAATGACCAATTCAAATTTGACTTGCATGCAGTGGAAATGAATTAGCCAGGTACCTATGTTCTTTCTAAGACTTTCCTTTCCTGGTTCATTTAAATTTACATTCGTCTTTTCGACCATGTTATCATTTCAGCCCTTAGTTTCACTTGTTACTCATTGCTTTCTCGCACTCGGGTATTAAAACTGGTATGTATACCCTACACATTTAATACGAAAGTTTGTTATATTCATGAACACGCGCCGTTGCTGGATTCATTGGTCGTCGAGTGTCAAATGTACATGGGATACATGAGAGTTATTAAAACACCGCACTCTATGAGTAATATTACCCCAAGTGCTTATGACTGATCCGAGGAATGAAGGAGCAGAACTAGGCTAACACCGACTGTTAATGACGGTGAGGAAATTGGAATACACTCTGCTTCAAACGGCGCTAGCCTTGTCTTCAGTTACACTGTCTCAGCAGGAAAAGAAAAAGGAAAATTTCTAACCATTGGAATATCGGTTTTCCTTGCACTTTCATGATGGGTCGATTTACGGCACCCCGTTTTCACGAAGTTAATGAAATGTCCATTTCCATGTCATCAGCAAGGTAGTAGCTTATTTTAAAGTTAAAATAAACAGAAGCAATGTGACATGGCACAAACAGCAGTCACATGTTTTCTTACCCAAAGAGTGGCAAATCCTTTATCACCCTGAGAAGGGGATTAGAGAGTGACCCTGAGAGGAATTCGAATGCGGAACAGATCAAATGATTTACCGATTAAACAATGCCGGTTTGAAGCAAAATCTAGCAAATTGCTTTCTCAAAGAAATTTGTGGTTAGAACCAAGACTGCCTTCCACCAAAATTGAACACTGCACCTGCGAAACTTGAAGGTGACCTCCTTCCTACTCTGCCACCAAGCCGGTATAGAGAAGCAGAAAATATGTAGACAAAGCTAAGGAGTCAGAAGCACGTGTTCACAAAGAAGCATCGCTTTGCCGAACATGCGTTAAATCTAAAATGAGGTAGAAAATCTTTGAAAGTATTAGATTTTGGAAACTGATATCTCCTCTGAACTATGGATGAATATGGTGCGGTGATGATCAGAAAATTCAGCGCTCAAATTCATGCACAATAATAGTACTTACCGTCCAGATCAACGACGTATACGACTCCTGCTTGGGAACCGGTCGCGTGTTCAATAACGTTCATTTTCTCGTACAACTGCTCGAGGAACCTGAAAC